GTTTTATCTCTGAAATTCTATTGTATATTTTTGTTTTGTTTATTGTTAAAACTCTATTTTATTTAATTACGACGCGATTGATTGTTGTTATTATAGTATTTTTCCCCTTGTCGTACACGCATTCAGTATCATCTGTGTGCCCCAATATAATATTATTACAACAGTAATGTATCACGGCGATGACGTATCATGATGATCTTTAGACTAAGGTCAATAAAAAAACCGTCAATCAAAATGTGACTGCGACACTGACACAACCTGGCAAAACACAATACCGCCATTAAGCACTCGAAATATATTTACCCGCATGCTTATAAAATTATCGGAGTTTCTTTTGTTATTACTTTTATTACTATTAATATCATTATTACAGTTATTGTTCTTCTTACTATCTCACGTCAGTATCACTGTTATTATTGCTGTTATTATAATGAATACGATTTGAGGGGATAACGACGTTGTTAGGGATACACGTGTTATCGCTGCATTTGTTTGCGCGACAAACTTGTCATTCTTATTGTAGACAAATATCATTAAAAAATGATAAATCTTGGGCCATAAAAAACACACTCGTGTTCGTATGATTTACACTAGGTCGAGATAAATTTAGCTTAAACGAGACACGTAAGAATTCGCTGGTATTTTGGAATTACAGTTTTATGTAAAAGAAAAAAAAAAGAGTTAGATATGATTTATTTAGTTCATAGTATAATATCTTCACGATTGAATTATTATTATTATGTGATATAAATATGTAAAACTTTCTGTGAACTTATAAAGTTCATTAAAGATTTTGGGTTTATCGAGATGATGACACTATGACAGGTAAATGTAAACTTTAATTTTCTTAGAAATGCCTTCGCCGTGCGTTAAGCCGATTTAATTACGCGGTTTTGTTATTAGCGAGTTGTGGTACTTGCGCACTAAAGCTGAGAGACAACTTGAGTAGCTAGGATATGAAACTTTACCAGCTCTGCTTTGACGTATCAAAAATCAATTCTTAGAGCCCTTTGCGATACAACAACAACAACTAATAATACATAATACCATTTATTCCTCTCTCTTCAAATGATTTACCGTGTGGTTCCACCAAGTTTGCATTCAACTAGCTAGCTTAATTAGGCTATTTTGGCCATCCCTATATTATATATTGTTATATTAAGCCATAATCAGTCATAGCCGCAATTAGGGGGATTAGTACTCCCAATTTTGAAACAAACCCCCTCTAATATATTTCCTGTTTGTGTATTAAAACCTCTGCTTATAAAAATGTTTAATTTAATAAAAAAAACTTACAGATTTGCCAATAATTTATGAGGAAAAATATAAGACAAATATAACTAACACAGACAAAGTTATTGACACATTTACAGAACGAGCAAAGTGTATAACTGTTGTGTAAAATACCTGTAATTTTAATATTGCATAAATTTTTTATTACTTTTTGTTATAAAAATAAAATGCTAATTAAACGAAGTGTTAAATGTTAAATTGTTGTACAACATCCTTGCTCAAAAAAAACATTAACCTCATAAATTCAAATTTAAATACCTGGGAAATGCAGAGCTTTAGCACCCTCGGATTTTTTTATTGAAATTGCGATTATCTAAATTTAAATTTAAATCAAATATGATTTGTTAAATAAGAAGATTATTTGTCAACATTTATTTTAGAAAATAACCCGCTTGGACAATAATACAAAGTTAATAGTTTTAAATATGTATGTGAGTGAACAATTAACATATTTAATCCATATATTTTTCTATTAGAAATCATATGCAAATGGTATCATCAAAAGTAAAACAAATTCTCCCCACCCTATCTGAAAAAAGTCTTTTCAACTAAAACACGCTCTCACCTACAACTTCACCAAAAAAAAAAATAAGATAGAGCTGACATTTTTATGAGCTCTTTATTATCCATTTAGTACATGTATAATAAATAGTCAAAAACCGAAATTCCTGTCAACCCCTAAATTATACGTGTGTAATAGTGAATGTAACTAATGACCACCGTTTGATGTGAACACAAATTATAATAACTAATGTTGGATTATTAATTTTTTTTTTGAAAGTATTTTCGAACGTTTTTTTCTTAATACGTTACATTATACAGTTAAGTTTAAATTTATAATAACTGTGTAGTTTTTTGTTTTTTTAAGTAGCGATCCTGGCTATTAACTTTGTTAATGCGTTATCATTAAGCCCACTGTACAAAACAAGTAATTGGTCGAGTGGGGTTGATTTGGGTTTTTCAGTTTGTCGCGGTGTAGAGGCAACTCTTGAATAAGGTAGCTTATTAAGGTAGCCCAAGGGCCAAGAAGGTACAATATTTCTACTGTCAAGAAAATGCCATGTATGTTTGTATCAACACGGTTATTATAATATCATGATAATGTAGTTTCAAAAAAAAGATTGTAGATACCAAACGCATACCTTCGGCGTTGATCGAATGGACACCGCGACTGGCACGGCTGAAGAGAATACAATTTAAACCTTGCAAAATGAAGCCGAATTTACTAATGGTATCGATTTTGAGTGTGTACAAGATTCTTCTTGTGGAACTAAGTAAAAAAAAATAAATAATAAAATGAATGGTAGAATATTTTTTTCTTTTCCGCCAATGGCGATTAAGGTTGGTTTTGCTAAACCGAGCATTCGATCTTACCGGGGTTTCAAAACGACCGAGGAATAAACAAAAAATGAATAGCCGACAAACAGCTAAGAGATAAAAAAAAAAGTACACTAGCGACGCATCAACACAGGTAAGTACACGTAAAACACGAAAAAAAGTTCAAGACCATAGGTTAAAAATATTTTTTAGTACTTCTACATATTAAGTTAACTCTAACTATATGATTGACTATAAATATAACATAATTATACATCGAATCGATGTGAAGCTATTTTTTGTGTCAAGAACTACAGTAACGTTTTAACTATTGGGGCCTGATTTTTTTATAAAGCGACTCCGTAGACCAGAAATTGTACACAAAAGAATTTCTTCAGACAAAGGTTACAAAATCTGATATTTTTACCTAGTATAAAATATAGAAAAAAACCTAACAAATTATTGTAATATGTTAAACTTTCAAATACGACACGCTATACATTTGTGAAAAAGTAGAATTAGTTTCTAATATGATCAAGAATTTAAGATAGAAGGATGAGGAAGAGCCGAGTGGGTAAGGCAGCGATAGATCTACGCGGAATGTTTCATCCGTTTTCGAATTGTTTAGATAGAGTTTTACAAGTCAAAACATTAATTTCTCTAATTTTAAAGAGAAGTGGTCAACTTTTTACAACTTTGTTTGCTCAAAACATTTTTGGTGTACGATATTTCATATAAAGACTATATACATGAAAAAAATGTCAAGTGCAGTCAGCAGAGGTTGAAAAGTGATCATAAGTGACTCAAGATAAAAAAAAAAACATGTTTACAACTTAACCGAAAAACTAGTAAAGAATATGTTTATTGAGTTTCATAACAAACAAATATTTATGAACTGTGCCTAATGGTCTCACGAAAAGATTTATTAGATCTCAGTTGAGACTTTTAAGAGAACTTTAATAATTTTACAATGAATTATCTAAAACTGGTTATCCACTAGTCAACATTTTTAGCAAATTATTCTTAAGTGGATGTCAGCGCAGTGATTTACCGGCACTAAAACATGTTTACTTTAATTTATCACAATGAATCACACTTAATTGATATTAATGCAAAAATTCCTATTAGATTATTTAAAGAAAACAATATTTTGAAGGGCATCTCGAAGCCATTTTTTCGAAAAACTCATTTTTTTCGAAGTTTTAGGGTATAAAATTAACAAAATATGTGTATTTTTTAAAATTAATGAATGTCCTATTTGAAGTAACAAAAAAAGGGCTTCAAGGTACCCTTAATAATGTTGTTTTCTTTAATTTTAATTATAAGGTATTTTGCTCTAAAATCACTCAATAAGCCGTATTTTTGGATGTAAAAAGTTTTTATGGACATTTTTTTTTAAATCGCTGTCACGGGTGCTTTAATAGTCTGAAAAATAATTTAACTACCAAAAAAGAGTCTTAATTATAGTAAACTAATATTTACACATCACAGTTTAACCTTTAAGTTAAGATTTTGTTTAAAAATTGCCTATATTTTACTCCTTAAAATGGGCCGCGCTGACATCCTCTTAATTTAAAAAGTTAAATAAATATATACGTTCCCATTTAAGTTTCAAAAGTTGATACCTAGTGCTTCGGGAAATAAAAGTGGGCATGACCTAGTACTTTTTAGTACTTACTAATATTGAATGTTTTATCTTTAATCTCTTACCTCTTATTTCTAATCTGTTACCCCACCACCATCTTCCAGCGGGACCATCTCTTAACTCTAATCTCTTTTCTCCCACCCTCCTCCCTGTGGAGGATAATCCAGCATCCAGCTGGACCATCTAAGACCAATAACATATTTATGTTAATAAAAAATTGTATATTTTCTAATATTGTACAAAAGCATTAACTCAAGAATTTTCCAAAAAGAAAAATTAGAAAATTGCAATTATTTTAAGAATATCTTATCCTTAATGAATCACCCTGTAAATAAAATAATCTATAATAATACTACAAATTATAGTTTTTATAATATTGTGTAGGTTCAATCTTGTTGTAATTTGTAGGTGAATATAAAAATGGCAACTGCTTAAGCAATTCGTTTTGATTTTAATAGATAATATTTTATCCATTTATTTTATCGATAATGAAAGAACAATAAAAAATAACTTAATTACAATTAATACAATAGTAATAATAATATTAAATATTACAAAATAAATAAACGGTTTCGAACAAGCGCTAATCAATCTACACTACAATTAGGTAAAACTATAAGTGGTTATATTATTATTATATACATTCTTTACTATTATGTCTTATAATTTTAACTTTACTGTATATAATATATATAGTAAAAGTCATTATACATTTACAATATATTTATTTAAAAATTAGGTACCTATTAATTTAAGCGAAATTGACGCGAATGTCCAATTACACAACGATATTAATGATTACAATACATTGATAATTATTAATACACTACATTTAACAAACGGAAAAACTAATCGAGTATAATCTACTCGGGATATTACTTAACCATATATACCATTTAATATAATATGTATATAATACACACTAGTACATCTCTTAGTAGTATAAAGTATTATCTATGATAGTTATTATTAATAATTTTTGAAGCGTACCTATACCTACAGTTATTTTTGTACATGAGATCTTCGCCCATTACACAAATTGTATTATGTTGTGATCAAAATGACAAATAAATTTATGTACTAAAAAAGAATCTAACCAATTGAATTTAATATAGGAACTAATTTAAAAAATAATAAAAACTACTATTTTACATAATATTGTTATACTCTAGCATACAACTTAGGTTTTCTACCAGTAATAATATGCAAATTCTATAATTTCAATTGTATTTCATAAGATACAAAAAATTACACTTCAATGCATAATTTACATAATATTCATTTTTTGCCGACTCTTCAGTAAAAGCGTATTATATAGTAATTATTAGGTTTACTACTGTTACATAATAGAAAGCTTTATCAAAATACATAAGACACAAATATAATATATACATATTCCACAAAACGTTTGTTTTGTGATAATAATGTTTTTTTTACGGCCTTTGCTATCATAAACAGACGTTATACGTATATATACTGTTATTATATATACTTTTGTTTGTTTAACAAACGCTCACAAAAAGCGCTGGACCCGAATGGATGTGCGCCGGGTGAGTAGCAAAAAAAAAAGGTTCCGAATAGAGGCCCAACAACGACCGTGACAGCGTTTGTCGGTTAGAAATGCTTTTTGGAATTTATATTTGTTTTACTTTTTCAATTTAAACAAAAAAAATCAAAACAAAAATCGACGTGTTGCTCGTTTTTTTTTTTTTCATTTCCTCGCCTCGCTGCAATAATTATACACCTCGACGGAACCAACATTTATTACAATACATATGTATAATCATGAACAAAATTATTTTAGAAAAAAGTTATATGAAATAATATTTTGTAAATATTTAGTAGTATATGAAATGCACGGTCGACAAGTGTGCTGAGTGGGACCGATAAAACGTGTTTATGTATAACATGGGTTGCTTCTTAGACTCGACAAAAGTATTGACATAATTTTTGGCGTTATTATGTATTTTGCAACCTTGAGACCGATGATTAAATTAATCCACCAATTACAATAATAAATCAGTCGAAAGCTTATAATATAAAGTATATACATGTAAATTAAATAATACTATTATTAGTCAGCATCGGTTAGATGCTACGATTTAGTCTTTTGCGCGGTACGCGTACGCTATTTTTTTTTTTAACACTATTATAGTATTACACATTATTATAATCAATAGTCATAGGATCGTCGATTTCCCAGTCTGGTTCAATTGCTGCCGGCTTGCTGTAACTGCAAGTGTCCGGTGTACAGGTCGCCGTTTAAATGCAAAACAAAAGGATTAGTGTTGTTGTTCAATCCTGCAACACAAAACACATTATACATGAATTATTAATGCACAGACTACGCCGGTTTATTGGTATAATGCATATTATTGGCAGACTAACTCAGTACATCCAGTAACAGAGTTTTGAGAAGAAAATGTTTTGTTTTTTCCTTAATATTATTATAACCTTACTAATAAAAAAATCGATCTGTTGCACACTCTTCGTATATTGGCAAAAGGGGTATAATGCTTTTGGTGGGGGATTATGATTGCAAAAACATGTTACTTGGTACAAAGTAAAGATTTTCTCTAAACGATTACAAGATCCGCTGATCATGTCTGCACCGTTACTTTACTGCGTTTGACGTATTAATTTAGCTTTATTCCGAAGATGCCAGATTATATATAGTGTTATGTACAATAAGGAAATAAATAAGTATACTGTATGGCATGCGCGCTTATTCCATAAAACACCTGAAACACAATTTCTTAAGCGAGAATGAAAGTTATGTATTCACACACATTGGTGAGTAAATTCTTTAACTCAAAAACTACAGACTGAAATCTGGACAGACTATCTGATGATTAATTTACGCACTAGATAGATTCATTAACATAGTTTTTATTAAAATATAAAATTTAATCATAGTTGAAAAATTCTTTAAAAATACAGTGTTAAATGTTTTTTTGCACAATTCCGCATTGTATGTAAATATTTATAATATTATATTGTAATTTTAGTCAAAATAGATAAAAACATATCTTTGTAATGATACTGTCCTATTTTTTGTAAAAATATTTTTTAATAAAACGTGATCAATAAAATTAATTATTATTTTAAAATGTAAATGTTATATTCAAAAATATTTACATAACTTTTTACTTCCTACTGTACGATTAAATTACTAAATAAAATATACAATGTCAAAAATTAACGAGTACCTTCTCATTACAAAAAAAAAAAGTTGTTATAATAGTTTTTGCATGCCCAAGTGTGATAGTATAATAATAGCAGCTGTTGTGATTTATGTGCACTAAATGGTTACCCCAAAAAAACGTTTTGAGCGTCCTGACTTGATTATCTAATTTATAAAATAATACACATGTATTACATTACATAATTTTATTTCAAATTTTTTTATATTGTAAATACGCTTTATTTTGTTATGTTTATGTAAAATATATTTCTTATTATTATTATTGCCTAAAAGTTTGGTTGTTTCTATTTATATAATATTATTATACAATATGTTATGTATGTATATAAATATATTATAATTATAATATTATATAACATAATATAAATGCTGTAGGAATATTTTTCTAGTAAAAATAGTATTTTAATTAATTTCGTTAATTGTAAAAACTCGTAAGCCTTCATTTTATTCGAAAATCGTTATTATTTGATTTATTCCAATCTCAATTCAAGCAATACCCTAAAGCTGTAGAAATAATGATTACTTCTTGCTAGATTTGAAATACACGAAATCCTTTTCAGTACAAGCTTAAAGCAAAATCCTTTCGGCGATTTTGTACATAATACAAAATAATATAATAAAACTAAAAAACCATTAGACATTTTTTTTAAAATCCAAACCAAAAATCATTATATTAATAAATGCGTACGCAATATTTTGCATACTATTTATTACAAATTTTAAGTGCATTCAAAATGAAACTCGGATACAGCCATTTTATTTTAAAAATATTAATATACTATTTGCATAAACTATAAAACTCTGTGCATTCATTAACGATACTAAAAATATGTCAACGATTTAGTAAAGAAATACAACAATTAAATATATTTAAATAAACCCTTAACTACATATTTTTGTGTTTAAGGATTTATTTAAATATTTTATTATTTTATTTTTTTACTATATACATAACCACAAGTGTTGCTTAAGTTTTTTCTAGATCAATAATATACACTAGTTGTTTTTCAGGATCAGGCACGAATTGATCCAAAAAAAATGTATAAATATTGTATAATACTAGTTGCGTTCCGCTAATAATTATGAGTTTCTAAAGTTTACAAAATGTTATTGTTTTTTTTTTTTTTTTAAATGTTAAGGAACAATTTTTTTTTTTCCTAAATTTAGAACCGTTTATTACTTTAGTGCGTTTTCCATTTTCACTCAGCATTTAACCTAACAAACTCATATTGCATTTTTAGCTACTATGCGGAGCTGAGGGCTTCTTTTATGTTATGCTAAGATTTAGATTACGATTTGGGGTTCATTGAGATGCAATTTGAGTCTCCTACCTCGGGCCGCAACTCCGTCTGCAATAGTAAAAACTTAGAAAATAAAAATGATTGCGTGTTTTGTACAGTTTTTTTTTTAGTCAAATTCAAATTTAAACTGTATAATATTTCACTGTATGCATATTTTTATAAATAATAAATAACGAGTAAAAGGGAATGGATATTTTTTACATTTAAGTTGTTTACTTTTATAATGTTATTTATATAAGTATTTGTGTTAAAAAAAAAACAAAAATCGATAGTTTAACTAATTAATAATTTATAAGTTCTTCTACTGTAACATTGCTGTTTTGTGGGGTTTTTAATCATCAAAAATGTTTCACGAGAAACGGCCATATTGGATGAGTTTGTGATTTCAGAGAACGTTTTCTTCGAGACTCATTTGATATTCGACCACGAGACCCTATTTCTGGGAAAATACATATTCTCTTATAAACAGGTTGGTTGGCCAAAAGTAATACACAGCACACGAATTTCGGGAACAGTGCTGGGAATAGGGACTTAGTACGTTTAAATGTATGTACTACCCAGTGGGGATATAAAACCATCGTTTGCGGTACCGCAGTTTCCAATTTTTTGTTTGCTTAATTCGATTTATTGCAAATAAATGGAAAATCGTCGGTGTACACCGTGTATTGGCTTGTTTACACGCGAGCACAAACAATTATTATTATTATTCATTTTGGTTACCGCTGTATGTGTGTGTGTGTGTGTGTGTGCAGTGTGTGAGTATTGTACTGTCGGTAGAGCTGAATAACAATAATATTGCCAATAGTGTTTTTGTCACGGGGGATGGCTTGACAGCGAACATGATTATTTCAATTTGTAGTTATGTAAATCGTTTATTTTAAAACGACATGATCTAAGGTACAGGTACAATATCGTTTGAAATGATTGTTTACACAACCGTCATTTTGAATATTGTGTTTTTTTGTCAGTTTCAAGTGCCGAGCATTGTGTTTTAAAATAATATATACTTTTGTAAAGTATTACACCCACTACTATTCTCTAATATAACATTTATGCAATGAGAGTTTACCTCCGTTGACCAACGCGTTGCTTTTGGTAAGTTGACCTCTGTAAATGCCGTTTTTCGTTCTCCGTGTCACGCATATCGCCAAACCTTTGTTGCCGGAAAGACCTGAGTACACACAAAAGCACAAAAACATTAACATACTTATTATGTCATACTATATAATAGGCCATATCCTATAGGTAATATCTGGAAGGCTGCTGTTGTGACTGGATATATGTTATTAATTGCAAAATATGATATTCGGGAAATACATATATTCACAATGTGTGTTTTTAAAAATTTATTTTCACTATTCATACTGAATGGTCGTAATAGTTTTTAGAAAATTTTTTTAAAACAATAAAACATATTGATAAATAGCTTAAAAACAGCACAATATACCTTTCCTCAGTTGTCCGTCACATTAAAACGTTTTTAAATTTGTAAACACTTAAGTTCTGTCGGGTTAATTGGCTATATTTTACAAAAAAAAAAAAAAATTTTATCAGATTTAGACTTTATTACTGGAATTTTGAAAGCTGGCTTACGCTAAGAAAAACAATAAAATATCTTATGTTTGTGTAGCATGTGGTGCTTTCTGATAAATTGATGGAATGACGCATAAAATATAATATGCTAATTTATGTCTGAATTTGTTACAATTTTTTATTTCTTTTAATAATATCTTTTTATTTTTATTCATTCGTCTTGCCTTATGTATTTTTACAACATCCTTTCAAAACTTCTTCTATACAAGATATGAAAAGGCACTGTACTAAAAGAGTTAAAGGTACATAAAGTTAATTACCCTGTCATGAGATGGAATAATTACAATACCATATAAATAGGTTCAATTATAGCTTTTTTACCATTAAAAAAAACCTTTTTTCGCTTACCAAGCATAGATTGTTGGATAGAGTGTACAAACAAATTTCAGATGAATAACTAATTAGAATTACTAATCTAAATTCCTATTAAATAATTTTACTTATCAGTTCAAGTATACAACACTAGGCGTAGGTCAACCTTCAAAGACACTTACAAACTTTTTCAATCCTTCGTTACTTCATTCACTAAATTGTTTCAAACTAACTAATTGTTAGCGCTAAGTCCAAGTCCTAACACGTATTTTGATCAGCTAACGCGCAGTTTGTTCAAACTTTAAGTAGATCTAAAAAAACTAAAATTACCCGAAGGCGAAGTGTTGATGTCCATTTCGACGACATCGTCTTGTGAGCTATTGCATCCGACTGGTGAAGTTCGCCTCGAGTTGTTCTGATAGCCGTGTAAGGAATTCAAGGGACTTCTGGCCATAGCCGAGGTCGTCAGGTCTTCTTCGTCAGCTCCTTCTACTCTTTCCACGGCGTCGTCTTCTTCTTCTTCTTCCTCTCCTCCTATAAATCCACCTTCTTCCGGTTCGCCGATCCCGCTGGAGCAACTGACCGGCGGCGAAGACCTTTCGGTCTTGATCCGTTTTCCTGACGATTCTTCGTCGTCGTCTTCGCTATTGTTGTTGTTGTTGTTATTTGTCGTGGCACATCGCTTTTTGCCCAGATTAAGAGCTTCGCTTTGCTCCGGCACCACCGCCACGGCCGGCATCATAGGACTCTTGTAGGCGGGCGATAAATTCAGAGCGGCCGCCGCCGTATAAGCCGAAGGACTAGTCGGTACACCTGTAAAACAAACGCCGTTTTAATGAACCTTTGGTAATTTTTTGTTAAAACGAAACTGTCGGTAATGTTCTGCATGTTATGTTTGGCACTGTAGTGAGCCAAAGCTAAATTTATCATAAATGCACATTGCACGCAACAAAATTAATATTGACCCAGCCGTGTCTGAATGTTGTGCAACGTATCGAACCAAGTGTTATAATTATTAAATAGCTCAAATTTGTATAAACTAGTATTTAATACTATTAAACACGGCTGTAAGCAAATTGATAACAGTGCCTATTATTTAGTAATCGTCACTCGATCTACCGGTAGCCCCCTTAACTTCTCAACACTATTTTTTTTCGCCTAGATGGCGCTGTAATAACAAGAAATAATAATTTCGAGAAACGATCATTAACAATCAATCATTCATTGTTAATGATCGTTTCTTTCTAAACAATAAAGAGTTAATAGGTACCAATAAGAAATGTTAGTTCAATACATTTTTAGTTTGAGCGTGAGATAAAAAAAACACTAAACCCAAAATGCTAACTTTTTAGTTTTTAGTACATATTATACTCACTCGGTATTGGTAGTCTGGGCAGGCCCGTTTGATTTGCTCTGACTATGTCCATCCACATAAGCATACTGAGAAGTTCTGTTAGAAAAAAAAAATATTATTTATAATATAACTAATTGTTAACAAAAATGATTTAACCGTTTATCAGAGAAAATAAATCAGGAGAATCCAATAATCCTCATCTCTTTAAGGTTGACTTATATAATATTATGTGGCATATTATTTCCATTTTTTTTTTTTGTATTATTATTAAACCTCGAGTTCTCAGGCAGAGATACGATCGAAAACGGGAACAATAGTCAAAGAACTCCTAATCGCGATGACACCTTCTTATAATATTTTTTATTTTATTATATTTATTCGACCCCTCAGATAATACATAGTTATTACATTATAATGTTGATATTTGATGATAATAATACATTATAATATACTATGCACGATCAAAAAGAAAATAAAGGTAATTTAGTAGTTCAGCATCGAAGGTAAAGAATTCAGTATTTAAGAAGCAGTATTGTCAACCAGCCACTCCAATAAGGATTTCATGTAATTGATTTCCAAAAAACCTTAATAATTCAAAAGTCAAAGATCGAGTATATTTAGTCAAGTTATAATTATGATGTACTAATGTGCAAGAAAGTTGTATGGCAATAATAATGTCTTAATTAATATTATACAAGGTATGTCATATACGAAATTCAGTAAATAAGACGAGTAACACATAAAAATACTGGAAATAGTATTAGATATTTAGGTGGTGGACGCTGAGCTATAATACCATAGACTCTAATAATAAAAAGCTATAATACTTAGTTAATGTAAAGCTTTAACTCACGGTTAGCAAAGGTACCGATTACACTAATGATATTATATTATATAATATATTGTGTTAATTTTTCACTGTTATAATATATTCCAAAAAAGTAATTTAGTTATTTTACAGCTTTAAAGGTATTGTCTTTAAAACAATAACAATTTAACTTCTAGAAAATACCACTATTATTATTGACACAGACGTATATAGACTGCAAGGACAATCATATTAACATTTTTACGGTGGAAATTTTTTAAGGCAACATTTCGTTGGAATTTAAATTGAATAAATTTACTTAGATTCTTAAACAGGTGGTGTTTCATGGTTTTGCGCCATATTATGAAGAGTAAAAATTGTAACAATTTCTAATTATTAAGGGACACAACGTCTAGACAGCAAAACGCTCAATCAGAAAAGACACTCTTGGACACTACTATAATATAATATATAATTATATATTTTTCTTCGGCGCCGGTTTCCCGTTGCTTTGGCGTACGCAGGAGGACCCATGTCGTTATTATTATTAATGCGACAATGTGGCGTGTAGATTTTCCATTTGTTTTTCAACTAGCTTAGCGTGACACCGTTTGTATAATTAGCCGAACAAAACAGCCTGAGCACCGTCTTGATACGATTCCAACAGGTTTTCCTTTAACGCGTTTTTGATCGCCACCGCCGCCGCCGTAACTAATGAAGACGTTTTTGTTGAACGAGCAGAAATTAGAACACAAACATACATACACACACACACTTGCACGTCTCGTAATGTACCTATTGGTATGAATAATATTTAAGCTTATACTTTCTTGGTAGCGTTTCAAAAATACACGTTTATAATAGACACAATATGATTATCTCGCACAGGTGAGAGAGTGACGCTTGAAAGATACTGCGCGAGTATTATTATAATTATTATTATCATTACAAAAAAAAAAAAAAAAAACAACACATCACAAATGTCTGCGAGATTTTTCGTCTTAAGATCTGTCTTTTTAGCGGATAACGACGTGCCTCCTTTGCCCTGTCAAACAACATAACGTCCCCTTATTGCGACCTCGTCGCTTTTAACGCGATTTCAAACAAAACTATAAAGAAAAAAAAAATGAATGTTTATATATAAATTATATCGTATGTGTGTGTGTGTGTATATTATTATTCTTATGTCCCTTGGCACGCGTCTTCATTATAGGAGAACAAACAAAAAGACACATACGGGACGACAGAAAAAAAAACATCAAGTTTTTTAACTACAATATTATTATATTTATCAACTGTTCGCTTTTGATATACATTCATTTTTTTTATTAATCGCTTATTTAGCTGAACATCATAAATGTTAATAATATAGATATAATAAGTGGACGATCGGTGGTTAGATAAAATACAGTGTAGTTGTAACAATAATAATAACCCCAATAATAATAAAATATTTTCAGCGAATCACAATGAAAGAAGGTAGAGTATTATAGAAAAATAACATAATGCTAGTACTTATTAAATGGTCATTACTAATTTTTTACCAATATCGAATATTAATTGATTACTATGCACAACACATTGTGTCTGCAGAATTCTGAATTCTCTAACTCGACGATGCGCTAACCCGCAATAATTATTACTATTGGCGCCATATGTGTTCGTGTTCCTGACAATAAAATCCAGGAAGTGTAAAATAGTCTGCGCACTCTTTAGCTGGTTTATTATTACTATTGTGGCTAACGCTAGGACGTTTGTGAAATCTCCATTAATTTAGTGCGTTTTGTTAATATTACAATTATTATTATTTGTAATATAGATGCTTTGCAAACAATGGTCTACAAATTGTTCCATAGACTAATGGTGCAATTAGTTCGCTTTCGCCGGAATTTGTAGCAAAGAAAGAACTAAAAGAAAATCCTAATACAGAATCGTTTAGCATTCCGACGATTTAAATAATAATTTACTCATTTTTGTTTGACACGATATGCGTTTAGTTTTATTGTTTATAATTAATATTCAAAAAAACAAAAATAATATCGAAAAACTCTCTACATACAGCTAGTGTCAACTTAAATTTAAAACATTGGAAACCTCTAAAATAATATCAGAATATGTATCGAGTTGTAATATTTGTTATAGTTATGCATGCTATTTTATCAGACGATTATCATACATTTTCTACACAATACAATATTATTGAATTATGTAGAATTTACCTATTAAACAATTTCATTTGTTCATTAATTTATTAATCATTTAGTCCATTTCGAAGTTGGCTCCTGTACTCATTTTTTAAAAAGTGGTAAGACTACGCTTTAACAGTTGAGAATAAAACGAGTTTTCTTACAAATATTATTTGATGTTGCCGTTTAGGGTGATCTTAAAACCAAATGGTTTTATCCATTTTTATCCAAGATTATTTTTTATAAATACAAATTTTAAATATATTTCCTTAACATTATTTATGATGGTAACGATATTTAACCCCCCCCCCTCCTTTAGTCACTGTAAGCATACGTGGAATTATTTATGAAACTGGGCGAGAGGATAACCCTGAAGGCAATCTCTCCTAAATGTGGGTTACAGTTAATTTTAACAGAGCACACATATAATTCTATTCGATTTTAATGAGCAAATATGGGGACAAAATGATATTTAAGGCACTGGTAAACAGTTAAAGATTTATTGAACACTTCATTTAAACGTTCGAGCATCTCGTTTTAAGTTTAAATAATAATTGCTAGATGTAAGTACTTAACTTGATAACCAGTAAACTGACCTCTTTGTTTGTTGGTTTGATCGGCGGTGGATTGGAGCACACTGGGAGGAGGCACTGACTGATGTTGTTGTTGCTGCTGCTGTTGTTGTTGTTGATGCTGTGGCTGCTGTTGATGTTGTTGTTGTTGGTGGTGGTGATGGTGATACGAGTTGTGGTGTCCGTTGAACAGCGACGACGGTACTATTGCGGACGGGATGGGTGGTGGCGGTTGCGGCGGGGCCTGTTGCAATATGGGTACTGCCGAAGTTTTGCAATCTTGCAACTGCGGGCTAGGAGGTTTTCGCAGCTTCGCATGCTCGCTGCTTGTCGAATTACCCGTTGCCGATGTGGCCGCGGCCGCTGCAGCCGCTGCAGCTGCGGCGGCAGCCGCATGATTGTGATTGTCGATGATGGCGGCTGCCAAGTGCCGGAACCTGTCGTCGACGGCCAGCACGTTGGCGTAATGATGTTGAGGATGCTGATGGTGGTGACTGGAAGTCGGCGTGCCGGCGTGAGAGTGATGCGGATGGTGTCCCGGTGGCGGTGGCGGCATATCCGAGTACATGAGCGACTTGTTTCGCCTGCCCTCCCGCCTGTTCCCCGCGATAGCCATGTTCAACTCGTCCAGCGTGCTAAACTGATTCATCCTAGATTCGTAGGCGTACAAATATTTAACGTACCTGTAAAACCAAATGTAGGTAAGTATAGGAAGTCCTATTTTTTTATAGTTTAGGTTGAAAAGGCGCCGACAACGGGAGGACTGCAGAAGAGCACACTTTGTTTTCATTTGATAAAAAAGTCAGTACAGTGGGGTCGGGTATAGTGGGGACGGATAGGTCTCAAGTCTACAGATTTTATTATAACTGAAAGTGATAAAATCACTTTTAAATAAACGCTTCGATGCGAATCTGTGGATAGTATGTTCAAACTAGTTATAGTTATGTAATATTTTAATCCACGAAAGTTTCAACACATTCATAGTTATAGTGGTTTAGAAGATACCGTGGGACCAGCAATAATGTACTTAAAATTTAATATTTAGTCTTGTGTAGGGTGGATACGAGAAGGGTCGATCGTCTGTCTATAAAAATGTACTGTCATAGTTACTCATATATCGTAATAAACAATATAATAAAAATATTTTCATTACCTGTTGACTGTTGATTCACACACACATAGCAACCAAGAAACTGACTCCGGCCAAAGTGTAAATTTACCCTATTTTTGGGGTTTTTCCTTAATAAAAGAAAATTGACAACAGATTTTTGAGAAAATTGTATATATTATAGTTCCATTTTAGATCTACCTTTGCTCTAATTTTCAGATCTAAGTTTTTAAAACTTTGCTTGAAAAAGTGAAATAGAGAAAAAATGCTATCCCTTCTAAGGGAAAGGGTTTATGATATTTTTTTGGTTTGTTAATGTTTATCGATATTACTATGTTTGAAGAACAATTCATATAAATTTGGAACATTTTTGACTATTTTTAAAAAAGTTGTAGAGCATCGTAATTTTAAGTTGAAAAGTTTGTACATTTTTTAGGAGTTTTTCTCAATTTTGATGGGGAAGGGGTGACTTTTTTAAATTTTTGGCCTGATAACGTACCTCCCAAGTATGATTTCTGATCTATAGAGTTGCTACACGAAGAAATCGGTTCAGCGGTTTACGAGATATCGTGGGTCCAGACACAAAAAATAAAAACACATCATTGTAAAAACAATACCTTCTCAGCTCCGCGAGAAGCTAAAATTCACAATATGAATTGTAAATATTTATATCAACTGACTTTTTACATAACTGTTTTTTATGGCCATCCGCTTAGGAGAGTTAAGCAGCAAACACCTGGGCTAAGCTTAGCAAACTCTAAGAATCCTACGGCCCCGAGTACGTTAAGTAAATTGAATATTGGACTTACTGTGTTCGCAATGTAAACGCTGCACTGGTTATTGAAGGAGGTAAACCCAAACCACGGATGATCTCTTGCCACAACTTCTTGGTGATGACCGCTACGATTCCGCCTCTCTGCACCACTAGTTTGTATAAAGTGTACAAATCCAGCACACGTTTGGCCATTATGGGAAGGCGGCTTATTGGAGTACCTGGCGAAAAAAAAATAAATGTTTTTAATTATTGGTTATCGATAAAAGTAAAATGGGATAGGCAATGGGTAGGCCTGGACTTTTGCTGTGATGTACAAATGTGATGTACAATTTTATAAGTAAGGCCAATTATTATAACGTACAATATTATAGAGTTTTACAATAGTATATGAGAGGGTGTGGGATACTCGAATTTAAAATAAACAAGAGGATGTATAGAGAAATGTGTCGATTATATAGAGCTTTAAAGTTGATTGGGAAAGTGAGATGAAAGTGTCAAGTAAAGAAAGTAGCGGAGAAAACTGTTTTAAAACCGTTATTATTTAGAAATTGAACAAATCCAATTGAAACTGTTAATTATTTTACTACTTCGTTCGTTCGATAGTTGCTATTAACAAAAACAAAATGTCTTGTGTACAACAATAGTAATAGTAATGGCGATGGGGAAAAACGCAGAGTATCCGTCTGCAATAATAATAAGACTGATATTATTATCGTCATAGTCGGCTAAGACAATAATATAAAAAAAATCGAGTTCATCCGGGATATCATAATGGGCGTGGGGTGAGACCTGTAGGCCATTCAGTTATGGTTCCGCCGCCGACACTGCCGCCTTTTTACCACTTTTTTACGACTTATAATTACAGGCTGTGCGAAACATAATATATCATATTATTATACAGCAATATGGTCGGAATCATATTTATAAAACAAATTTACACCCACCACCTCTCCTCTCCCTTCTTCCTGGTAAGTATAAACTCGCCCTTTGCAGTCTATATAAGCACCGGTCGCCATGCGATTCCTGGCTTTGGGTGGGTAGGGTACAACCCATAAGGGGTACACCTCAAACTACATACAAGTAGGTATAACGCGGCACATTCATTACCTTTAGTGTATAATAATAATAATAATATAAACTGGACGAAATTGCGCATCGCCGTATTATCAGATAGACCGTAAAAACGGGTAACCTGCCGCAGTGTATAAAAAATAATAATATTATATTATATGTATCCGACGAAACTAATCATAATAATAACAACTACAGCCAGAACGACCAGCAAAATAAAAACGACTCGGTATAATACATATTTTTTTTTTATGTGTGTCATAGCGTCGGTTCGGTACAAAATAATAAAAAATTAATGTACATGCACGGGGCACACACGCCCGGTGCAATTTTTTAATTACAGGATAGATGCTCAAGGGTAAAACTTATAAACGATGAACGCTGTCGTCGTTAATAGCATTGCAGTCTTTACATTAGTACAATTGTCACGACCCTACAATTGGTTTTTGTTTTCCATCATATTAATGAATTAATTTTGCTAAGAATATTCAATTTTTTTTTCTTGTATAATATATAAACTTATACTAATAACTTAGGGCTGCTAGTTAGACCTTGAACTGTACAACAGGCCACTTAATTCGAATTCGGTTAACATTTTACACTACCGCTGTCGGTATTAAATAATACCGAAGGAATAATAATAGTATATGAATAACGTTGCCCGTGATTGTTTCGAATACGTCCAGGCGTTGTACACTATAATAACAAAAATAATATAAACGCAGGGTTGGGCCGTAGGTCATTAAGTCGTGTATTGTGCGTGTGTGTGTGTGTACTTACACGTACTTAGAGCGTTGTTGTCGCATGCCTTGACCACTTTTCTCCATTATTGTATGTCTTGTATAACCGGTGATTTACCGTCGGCCGTTCTTTTATATTATTATAATACTTATGTGTTTGTGCGTCTGAGAGAGTGTAATATCAATAATATTTACATAGTATTATCAAGCATGTTATTTTTGACGGACACAACCCATGTTTGTGGAAAAGAAATCTAGGGTGTTTTTACATTTTTTTTTTTTTTTTTTTTTACTTCTGGGCGTGGAAACATTCTTTCCACCGTTATTATCGTTATTACAAAATAAATACACTCAACCGAGTTCCGAGATTGGGCACCTACATGTGTAGGGAGGGCCACGGACCCTGCATAACAAAGTATACATTAAACATAATATTTTACAGTAGGTATACACTTACGAGATACAGCCGCGAAAATGGACACTGCGTGAAATAACACACTTTAGCTGATATCTATTTTTAGGTATAACAATATAGTACTTACTAGTGTGATTATTATAATAGGAGGTAATAACAGAGCACGACATAATAATATTATAGATTGATCCGGAAGAAAAAAAATAGCAAACAAAACTTGTTTTTTCAGTTTTCACTATGGCGTCTTCTTCTTTAGTATTCAACCCTTAGGTTGGTTTTACAGCATTCTACTTCCGTACTCCCTCCACTCTTCCCTATTACTGGCCATTCTCTTCAGTTCTCTGTAGGTCCTCAGTCCGGCATCTTTAATAACTTTATTTATTATCGTTGTTCTTGGACGTCCTCTGCCTCTCCTGCCTTCTATTTGTCCTTCCAAAATTGTGTGGTGCAGTTCCTCCTCGTGTCTTAAGGTATGTCCAATAAGTCTCCATCTTCTTTCTTTGATTGATCTTAATAATCTTCTAGGCTCACCTATTTCATCAAGTACACTGTCATTGGTACGGAACTCCGTCCAACTCACTCTTAGCACCCTCCGCCAGCACCACATTTTGAAGCTTTCTAAATGTTTTTCTTCTGCTTTGTTTATTAACCAAGATTCTGATCCGTATAGAGCCACGCTCCACACAAATATTTTAACTAATCGTTTTTTTATATGGATACTCGTTTTCTTCGAGCATAGTAATTTCTTGCGGTTAATGAAAGCGGTTTTCGCCTGCGCTATCCTAGCTAAATTTCCTTAGTGGTCTTACCATCTTGGGTAATTAAACTGCCTAGGTATTTGTAGCTGTTTACTTGTTCTAAATGATTATTTCCCACTTGAATTTGGAGTCTGTGCCTTTGTTATATTTTCTGGCATACCATAACCTTAGTTTTTTTCCAGTTTATCTTCAGGTCATATTCTTCAAAACACTTCTAATGCAATTTCCATCTCTTTTTCGTCTTTGGTAATTAACGCAATGTCGTCTGCGAATCTAAGCATTTGTATAAGTTTTCCTCCGATTGTCACTCCTATTTTTTGTCTATGGCTTAGAATATATGAAATAATCTGATTTAGTTTTCATACGTTCAACACGGTATAAAATGTTAAAGGCCAAAAGGGCTTTAGCACTAGTCATCTGAGAACAAATTTATAAAATATCAATATGCAAATATTAATTATGTTCAGTCGTGCAATGCGTATGATGTAAAACTTTTTCAAGTCCATACAATATTCACAAATAAAAATTTGTTTAAGCTAATATTCACGAATCATCCTTAATATAATAATGTTAACTAATACAAGACATAGCTAACATTTTGTCGCCTTTTGGGTTTTTTACAAACCGTTTAGTTAGATTTAGTATCGATATAGTTGAATAAAACATTTCTATAAACACACACACATATATATATATATATACCAAATTAGTGTACACGCATTTTCCTCATACTCGTTTTAGATCCTTCATCCTTGACGACTGTACAGGCACATTTCGAAGGCTACCGTCTTCTTTAGCCGGTGGGTGATTATTATATTTTAATAGATATGGTGTTTAACGGCTAGTTGATTTACGGTTCGGTAATAAAAAGTTTCAAAAAAAAATATTCTGGTTTTGTACATAAAAAATAGTGAAAAAAAAATATATATAAAAAAATGTTACATTATATTTTTTCAATTCCGTTCAAGGTTTATAGTGCTGAAACGTTGATTTATACGGGAAATCCTCTATAACTATTGTCCATAATGCTACTACGGTTACTATAAAACCAAAATCCAACGCTTAGATGTTCTTCAGTTATCAAATACTTTTTATACGCGGCAAGTATAAAATACGTCGAAACAGAATTTGTTCATTTTCAAAATCGTGATGCGTTTATCGGCACTTTGGTAGTTCATCCGATTACGGTTTGGTCGTTGAGAAACTTGATTTAAACGGATGTTTTAGTTTTTGGAAAATTAAAAACCCCTCGGGCCCTTCATTTGGCGAGAGTTTTCAAGTAGAATTGCACGAGGAGTGCGCATAAAATAATACTCAAATTGGTAAACTTATTATTTTAATGATAAATCGAATGGGCATTAGCAAAGTGTTGAGTAATAAAAATAATAACGGTAACGCATTATTTTACTATTGTAATGGTCGATTGCTTTATTAGTGGACCGTGTGTACGCACTTAACTGTAGGCTATACTTAACTAGTGTATTATTGGGCAGACCGCATTGAAACAAAATGCAAAATCACAAATATTTACCGCGGGCTGGATGGCAAAAAACTGGTGTAGTACCACAAAAAATATACATTTACATTTATAATACATAACATTATGTAAATGGGCCGGACGTTTTATAGTCCTTGGGCGGTGTTATTTATCTCTATCTCGCGGCTCGCCTTCTCCTCCTCCTCATAGTCATCTTCTTCTACAAATACAATAAGACGTCTATTATAATTAATAAACAATAACGTGTAATAATACTACTATACTCAGGCATTTTTGTAGCAGAATATTGTAGTTTGTACACGTACCCCTGTAGACCCTGTTAATGGTTATATTTTTCTAATCTGAACCAAATATGGTCAAAAATTATTAATACCGTATTTTATGAAAAAACAAGATCAGTTTACAGGCGCCCCTTAATATTGATACTACATCAATATAACATTACAAGAACTTAAACGGCAAGCTGTTTTTTTTTAATATTAAATTGCACAGGCGAAGGTTCTGGGCTATAAGCAATTCCTTCCATGCAAATAAATTCTAAGGGACATTAGAATGAGTGCACATGAAATCAATGGTTAGGGCCTAGTTTAAGTCGCTTAAGTATGCAACATGTTAATGCACAATTGAATAGAACCCATTATTTAGTGTAATCCAACGAGTATATTTTATTAATGCGTGTACTATTAATGATGAATTGGGCATACATAGTCTTATTTAATATATTTGTTGAAACTGA